ATGTTTCGATGCTGTTCTCTTGAAACATCCCACCCTCGCCTTCTCCCACACAGTCCAAAAGTCTGTTCTATACATCTGAGTCTCTTTTTCTGTTTTGCATATAGGGTTATCGTTACCATCTTTCTAAATTCCATATATATGTGTTAGTATACTGTAATGGTCTTTATCTTTCTGGCTTACTTCGCTCTGTATAATGGGCTCCAGTTTCATCCATCTCATTAGAACTGATTCAAATGAATTCCTTTTAATGGCTGAGTAATATTCCATGGTGTATATGTACCACAGCTTCCTCATCCATTCGTCTGCTGATAGGCATCTAGGTTGCTTCCATGTCCTGGCTATTATAAACAGTGCTGCGATGAACATTGAGGTGCACGTGTCTCTTTCAGATCTGGTTTCCTCGGTGTATATGCCCAGAAGTGGGATTGCTGGGTCATATGGCAGTTCTATTTCCAGTATTTTAAGGAATCTCCACTCTGTTTTCCATAGCGGCTGTACTAGTTTGCATTCCCACCAACAGTGTAAGAGGGTTCCCTTTTCTCCACACCCTCTCCAGCATTTATTGCTTGTAGACTTTTGGATAGCAGCCATCCTGACTGGCGTGTAATGGTACCTCATTGTGGTTTTGATTTGCATTTCTCTGATAATGAGTGATGTTGAGCATCTTTTCATGTGTTTTTTTGCCATCTGTATGTCTTCCTTGGAGAAATGTCTGTTTAGTTCTTTGGTCCATTTTTTGATTGGGTCATTTATTTTTCTGGAGTTGAGCTGGAGGAGTTGCTTGTATATTTTTGAGATTAATACTTTGTTGCTTCGTTTGCTATTATTTTCTCCCAATCTGAGGGCTGTCTTTTCACCTTGCTTATAGTTTCCTTTGTTGTGCAAAAGCTTTTAAGTTTCATTAGGTCCCATTTGTTTATTTTTGCTTTTGTTTCTAAAATTCTGGGATGTGGGTCATAGAGGATCCTGCTGTGATTTATGTCAGAGAGTGTTTTGCCTATGTTCTCCTCTAGGAGTTTTATAGTTTCTGGTCTTACATTTAGATCTTTAATCCATTTTGAGTTTATTTTTGTCTATGGTGTTAGAAAGTGTTCTAGTTTCATTCTTTTACAAGTGGTTGACCAGTTTTCCCAGCACCACTTGTTAAAGAGGTTGTCTTTTCCATTGTATATCCTTGCCTCCTTTGTCGAAGATAAGGTGACCATAGGTTCGTGGATTTATCTCTGGGCTTTCTATTCTGTTCCATTGATCTATATTTCTGTCTTTGTGCCAGTACCATACTGTCTTGATGACTGTGGTTTTGTAGTATAGTCTGAAGTCAGGCAGGTTGATTCCTCCAGTTCCATTCTTCTTTGCAGACAGTTTCTTAATCAATGAGCCACTTGGAAAGCCAACCGTGAGTGTGGTACAGCAAAAAAAAAAAAGAAAAGGGAGGTAATACTTTTGTGGGATGGGTATGGAGGTGGCACGCATTTTCCATCATTTGGGTTCAAATGTGGAGCCTATGGCATCCAGAAAAGTGAATACAAAAGTGCTTGTGTATGTCCACTTCCAGTTCCTTTGTTTTTGCAAGAGTCTCCTTAGCTCTCCTTGGATTCTCGGAGAAGTGTGTAGGCCAAACCAGGTTCAGAGCTACCACCCTGTGTCATCCATGATTTCACATCCCCTGTCGTCATGGAAAGACACCTGAGAGCACTGGTCCAGCAGCAGAGGGTGGACCCAACTGTCGCCAAGTTTCCTGAATAAGGAATATGGTATCCACCACCTTGATTCCCTCCTGAACAACCCTGTACCAGCCTCTACTCCTATCGTGGCTGAAAGCAAAGAAGAACTAAAGAGCCTCTTGATGAGAGTGAAAGAGGAGAGTGAAAAAGTTGGCTTAAAACTCAACATTCAGAAAACTAGGATCATGGCATCCGGTCCCATCACTTCCTGGCAAATAGATGGGGAAACGGTGGCAGACTTTATTTTCTTGGGCTCCAAAATCACTGCCGATGGTAACTGCAGCCATGAAATTAAAAGACGCTTGCTCCTTGGAAGAAAAGTTATGACCAACCTAGACAGCATATTAAAAAGCAGAGACATTACTTTGCCAACAAAGGTCCCTCTAGTCAGGGCTATGGTTTTTTCCGTAGTCACATATGGATGTGACAGTTGGACTATAAACAAAGCCAAGCACCAAAGAATTGATGCTTTTGAACTGTGGTGTTGGAGAAGACTCTTGAGAGTCCCTTGGCCTGCAAGGAGATCCAACCAGTCTATCCTAAAGGAGATCAGTCCTGGGTGTTCATTGGAAGGACTGATGTTGAAGCTGAAACTCCAATACTTTGGCCACCTGATGCGAAGAGCTGACTCATTTGCAAAGACCCTGATGCTGAGAAAGATTGAAGGCGGGAGGAGAAGGGGATGACAGAGGATGAGATGGTTGGATGGTGTCACCAACTCAATGGACATGAGTTTGAGTAAACTCCGGGAGTTGGTGATGGACAGGGAGGCCTGGCGTGCTGCAGTCCATGGGGTTGCAGAGTCGGACACGACTGAGCGGCTGAACTGAACTGAACTGACTCCTATCGTAAGTGGAGGACTTCCCTGGTGGCCCAGTGGTTAAGAATCTGCCTGCCAGTGCAGGGGACACGGGTTCCATCCCTGGTCAAGGAAGATCCACATGCAACTCAGCCCGTGCGCCGCAACTACTGAGCCTGAGCTCTAGAGCCGAGGAGCCACAAGAGAAGCCACTGTAATGAGCAGCCTGTGCACTGGACTAGAGAAAGCCCACACACAAAAAATCAAAGACCCAAGGCAGCCAAGTTTAAATAAATAAATAAAAACTAAAAAAATTAAGTAAGTGGAGATGAAACAGCCCATGTGCCTACCACACTGTGTCCCAGCATCACTTATTTGACTGTGATATCCAGTACTTCACATAACCTCTCTGCCTCACCGCCCCAGCCCCGTAGGATCAGGCCCCATTCAGGCATCATTCTGTGCTGGAGAGACTCCCTATCTACTCATTCTGGGCAAAAGAATTGTGTCTAAAATGATGCCTCTGGTACATCCTGTTCTTGCTTCCATTGTTAGCAGGACCTAAAAGGACTGTTACAACGTAGGACACTGTAGAGACATGAAAAGGACCAAGGTCCTCGCACCCGTCTGAGCACGCACAGCTCCATGACCATACACACGGTCCAGCTGTGCTACAGGACACGTCCTGATGGCGGCAGGAGGCCCGGTGGAGGCTCCGGGCGGGAAGATTTGACATAGGGGTGCACCCATGTCCAGACTTTTTTCTGTTGCCATTTCTGCTGTTGATACTTTTCACCACTTTCCCACCGCTAACTATTCAGTTCTTCCTGCTGTGCTGTGCTTAGTCGCTCAGTCATGTCAGACTCCTTGCAAACCCATGGACTGTAGCTTGCTCCTCCATCCATGGGGATTCTCCAGGCAAGAATTCTGGAGTGGGTTGCCATGACCTCCCCCAGAGGATCTTCCTGACCCAGGGATAGAACCCAGGTCTCCTGAATTGCAGGCAGATTCTCTACCAGCTGAGTTACCAGGGAAGCCCAAGAATACTGGAGTGGGTAGCCTATCCCTTCTCCAGTGGATCTTCCCAACCCAGGAATCAAACGGGGTCTCCTACATTGCAGGCGGATTCTCTACCAGCTGAGCTACCAGGAAAGTCCATTCAGTTCTTTACTACAATATTTGCAGAATGATTAAGTCATTTTTTTTCTCATGCTATAACTTTTCAAAGTCTCTCTACATGATGTAGAGCAGCGGTCCCCAAACTTTTTGGCACCAGTTTCGTGGAAGACGGTTTTTACACAGACCAGAGGGGAGGTGGTTTTGAGATGATTCAAGCACAGTACATTTATTGTGCACTTTATTTCTATTGTTACTAAATCAGCTCCACCTCAGATCACCAGGCCTTAGATTCTGGAGGTTGGGGATCCCTGAGGTAGAGAATCTTCATCTGGTCACGGAGTGCACGGATAGTTACTATCTTTCCCGTTTTCCTAGTACTCTTTTGCTGTTGCTGTTCAGTCACTAAGTTGTGTCCGACTCCATGACCCCATGGGCTGCAGCGCTCCAAGCTTCCCTGTCCTTCACTACCTCCCAGAGTTTGCTTAAACTCATATCCATTGAGTCAGTGATGCCATCTAACCATCTTATCCTCTGTTTCCCCCTTCTCCTCCTGCCTTCAATCTTTCCCAGCATCAGGGTCTTTTCTAATGAGTCAGTTCTTCACACAAGGTGGCCAAAGTACTGGAGCTTCAGCTTCAGCATCAATCCTTCCAATGAATATTCAGGGTTGATTTCCTTTAGGATTGACTAGTTTGATCTCCTTGCTGTCTAAGGGATTCTCAAGAGTCTTCTCCAGCACCACAGTTTGAAAGCATCCATTTTTTGGTGCTCAGCCTTTTTTTGGTCCAACCCTCACATCCATTCAGGCCTACTGGATGGCACTTTTTAATTTATCATCCAGGAGAAATGCTAAAAGCAGGACAATAGGTCCATCCCAGGCCACCAGGGGGCGTCAGGTGACCGCCCCCTAAACAGTGACCTTTTCCTCACACCTTCTACTTGGGACACTTGCCTCATACTGGAGCTCTCTCCTAGCTAACCTAGCTAACGTGGCGATAGGAGACAATGCTTTGAAGCAGAAAGATGACCAGTTATGAGTTAAAGAACCGCCTGAAAGGAAAAAATCTCCCATCTTACAGAAGTCATGAGCTCTGTGTCCTTGTTTCTAGACTGCAGTTTCACTCAGTCTCACTGTGGTTTTGCAGCCCAATCTTCTCATGTTCTTTGACATGTAGACTGGCCCATGTGATATTTAATTCTCCAATTTCTCTCCATACGAATTTAAGGCACCATCCAATCATCATGGAATTAAATAATAAAAAAAAAAAAAAACACCTGCTGAATCTCCACCAGGATTGCCAGGAGCCAGGGGTACAATAAAAAAACAACTCCATCCTCATCTTTCCTTCTCTCCACAGCTTCGAAACGTGGCAGCAAACCTCTGCGTGGACAGCAAGCATGGAGCCACGGGGACCGAGCTAAGGCTGGACATCTGTGTCAAGGACGGTTCTGAGAGGACCTGGTCTCATGAGCAGGTGCGTCCTGGGACTGGGGGCGGGGGGCTGTACCCCCAGGGGACAGTGTGGGAATAGATATCTAGAGGGAGCTGGGAGGTCACCACCCAGCTCTGCGGTCAAGGGAACCCCTTCTTTGCTCCAGCTTCCTCTCAGGGCAGTCATGGTCATCCATTGAGATCAGGTATCAAAATGGGCTTTAAAGAAAGGATGCTGGCATTTCACGGCGGTACAGCAGTTAAGGCTCCAGGCTCATGCTCCCACTGCTGGCCGTACAGGTTCAATCTCTGGTCGAGGAACTAAGATCCCGTATGCCATATGGTGTCAAAAAAAAAAAAAAGAGAGAGAGAGAGAGAATAGGATAGAAGGGTGGTGAAGAAATGATGATTGTGACCCTAGTCTTCTGTTTCGTTCCCCGGAACGATAGTTTTTCAAACCATGAAAACTTTGTAGACTGTTACAACTCTCCTGCGCAGAGGTCATGTTTTTATGGAAGGACTTGGTGATTCTGTCAGTTTTGGGGACTTTCTCTAAGCTTATTTCCCCCTCTGGCTGCTTGAAAAGCTTGCTTTACATACACCTGTCCTTGTAGCAGCAATGTGTGATCTCACACACGAAGGATAGCTCAGAGGCAGGAACACCCCAGCGTGGACCACGTGGGATGCTTTAAGACCTGCTGTTTAGTCGCTCAGTCGTGTCCGACTCAACCCCATGGACTGGAGCCCGCCAGGCTCCTCTGTCCATGGGAGTCTCCAGGCAAGAATACTGGAGTGGGCTGCCATTTCCTCCTCCTGGGGGTCTTCTGACCCAAGGGTCAAACCTGCATATCCTGCATGGGCAGGCAGACTCCTTACCGCTGAGCCACCAAGCAAGCAGGGAAGCCATGCTTTAAGACTATTTACCGCTTGTGCTCAAAAAAAAAACATTTCAGAGCAGCTCAGTTTATTAAGTGAGGTGTGGTTCCTGACTGTCTTTGAAACATAACAGTCCTGGTAAGGGGCTTTCCTCGCCCTGAGTCACCTGTAAAAGAGCAAAGACTGGAGAAGAATTGTGCCTGCCCCTTTTTATTGTTTTAAATTATAAAATCTTTCAAACAGGAAACTATAAGAAATTTAACAACACATCCTCATGTACTCATCACACAGACTGAAGGAGTATCTATAGCTATTGCTGTATTTTTTTAGAAGAAAAAAAAAATGTACATATACAATTAAAGCCCTTCTCCCTACCCTATACCTCCTACTCTGTCTACAAAAGGATACATCCCAAGTTCAAGGTCTCATGTCCTGCTTGGGCCTTCTGTTTCCCAAAACTGTGTCTAATGCTTCCCTTAGGAAAACCAAGAGCAGACAAGCAGTTTCCAGTGTCACATCAGTTGTGTCCTCCAGCTTCTCAAGGGTCTGTCTCATAACTGACTAACGCTACATTAGTATAAGCCTCCACCTCACCCAACCCGGGATCTCCAAGAGTTATTGGGCGTGATGAGACTGGATGAGTCAACCTTCCCCTCTACTCACCCGCTCCTGCCCCGCCCCAGCACAGAGCAGCCAATTTAGGAAAACTGTTGCACTAAGCCAAGTCCAGAGCACAGCCCAGAATCCACTCCATCAATCCCTAAACCAGGGACTTTGCCGATGGGTGGCTCAGTGGTGAAGAATCCATCTGCCAATGCGTGAAACTCCAGAGACCCAGTTTCCATCCCTGGGTGGGGAAGGTTCTCTGGGGAAGGGAATGGCAACCCACTCCAGTATTCTTGCCTGGAGAATCCCACAGACAGAGGAGCCTGGCGGGCTACAGTCCATGGGGTCGCAAAAGAGTCGGACACAACTGAGCACACACGCTCCAAACCCAGCCTGCATCTATGGAGAGTATCAGATGGGTTTTAAGGAAGGCCCTGCAGCTTGGGGTTCACTGGCAGGTGTGGGCCATCAGCAGAGGCTGACTTGCCTTCCTTCTCCTCTCTGTGTTAGTCGCTCAGTCGTGTCCGACTCTTTGCAACCCCACGGATTGTAGCCCGCCAGGCTGCACTCCATCGAATTTTCCAGGCAAGAACGCTGAGTGGGTAGCGATTCCCAGGGGATTTTTATCCTCTGTGATTAGGACAGGGGACAGTGTCTACCCGTTTCCTCCATGAAGCAATTCTGACTGCAGCCTGGGAGCAAGAGAGAGGGCCTCATGGCCAATCAGTAAGGCTGGCGTCTAGAGGAGAAAAGAACATTTTCAAAAAGGAAAAGGAGAATGCTAGGAGGAAAGTCTGTCTCTGTTGAGTTCAGTTCCTCTCTACTGTCTCTGTTCAGCCCAACCAGGAGACACGCCTGTCCAGCTGGTTGATCTGAAGGAGGCAGACATACCTGAATGACCGGATCACGTTTAACATCTCCATCCCATGGAATGTGCTAGAGTGAAATATGCTCTGGGCTGCAAACTTTATTTGATGGGTGAAAATAAATATAAATAAAGCCCGCTACATTGCAAGTCCTTCCCTTGTCATTTAGTCACTAAGTCATGTCTGACCCTTTCGCAACCTCATAGACTGTAGCCCACCAGGCTCCTCTGTCCATGGGATGTACCAGGCAAGAATACTACGGTGGGTTTCCATTTCCTTCCCCAGGGGATCTTCCCCACCGCAGGATGGAACCCCTGTCTCCTGCATTGGCAGGGAATTCTTTCCTGCTGAGCCACGAGGGCCAGGCAAAACTGCAAAAACCTGTGGCATGTAATTCAAGAAATAGTCACCAGAGGACAGCACTAGATAAGCAGACAGTTATCTAAGAGGAACAAAAGACCACTTCACAGGGCTCTTTTTCTTTTTTAATTTTAATTGGAGGCTAATTACTTTACAATATTGTAGTGGCTCCTGCCATTCATTGACATGAATCAATGAAGATTTCCATTCTCCATGGTCTCTGAAAGCAAGGCGATCAAACAAGGCTGACAGGAGGTGAAAATCAATCTTATTTGAAACACGTATCATTGTATATTGACGTGGAGGTTCAAACATCACAAACTGCCTTTTTTTCCAGTAATTAACTCTTCATTCTATTCGATTTATACTCAATGTATATTCATTACTCAATGAAGGAAGATCCGCTGGAGAAGGGCATGGCAACCCACTCCAGTACTCTTGCCTGCAGAATCCCGTGGACGGAGGAGGCTCGCGGGCTGCAGTCCACGCATCAGCAAGACTCAGACACGACTGAGCGACTGAACCACCAGCAGGACTGTGCTTTTGTGTGATACAGTCCAGGCTCGGGCAGCGCTGTGCGTGCCACGTTAACATCAAAGCCGGGAAGTGTAACCGATACGTCATCCTGAATCTAGAGTATAGAAGAGAGTGGAGAAACTAACGTCAGTGTACTTCAAGAGTGAGGACTTTCAGGCTGGAAACAAGTCAGGAATCTGGATAAAATCTGAATATTTCTTGTCAGTGAGGAGCAGCCCAAAGGTTTCCAAACCGTCAGGTACCTGCATGATGTCTGCTTGTTTCTGCTTTGATATGACTGCACAGGATTGCAGGTCTCAGAAATGAGACCAGTCAGGGCCTGATTGGTTCCATGCAACAATTAGGATAAGTTATGTGGCAGGAGAGAGCATTTCAAAGACCCTGGAGAGGGCTTCCCTGGTGGTCTAGTGGTTAAGAATCCACCAGCCAATGCCGGAGGTGTGGGTTCAATCCCTGGTCTGGGAAGATCCCCTGGAGAAGGAAATGGCAACCCACTTCAGTGCTCTTGCCTGGAGAACCCCATGGACAGAAGAGCCTGCCAGGCTACAGTCCATGGGGTCAAAACAGAATGGGACAGGACTTAGCAACTAACCTACAATGAGAGGAAAGGAAACAATAAGAAAGTAAAAAGAAAACACTGTCTATGGAAGCACACACAAGCCTGGACTCCTGGAGTGTGGCAGCGGACCGCCCACCCACCTCTGCAGGCCAGCTGGGTAACGAAGGACAGGGTAATGAGCACAGCGCCTTCCAGCTCTGGCTTCTGCAGGTACAAAAACAGGAAAAGTGACAAAGTGCAAAATGGATAGACCAGGCACAGCCACCAGTACCCGCACCGCTTACGGTACCACGATTTGTGACATTTAAATAACATAAAATTTAATCCATGACAGGTTTATAGGCCAGGACATTGTTATTCCAACAATAGGTAACTGAGCTGAGAATCGTAGAAATTGAAAGCTCAAAAAATGATTATTGTTGATATTGCTGTATTAATAATTAGACACAAACAAAACAAATTCATTTGAGAAACAGAAAAGACTAATTATAATTAGTTCCTCTTGACAGTTATTCCAGTGCACTTTCCATTAATATAATGAGTTCAAGTTTTTATTTATGCGATAGAAATTTTACTGGACATGAATTAAATGTCATGAATTGTTCTGGGTGCTGGAAACACAAAGATGAAGATATGGCTCCTGCCATTTGGGGTCTCACTGACCAGTGAAGGCTACAGAAACATAAATGGACAACCATGATGAAATAAGGTGGGGGGTGGGAGGGAAGCAGAGGCTCAGAGAGATGGCTTCTTAGGTGATCTGGTGAATGTGGGCCTTCCAGCCAGAGGGCCTCTCATGAACAAAACCATAGGTGGGAAAATACATACAACCTGACTAGTTCAAGGAACTACAGTTTTTTACATTGAGGTCTAATTGACATACAGTAATTTGTTTCAGTTATACAACATGTTGGCTCAACGTATCTATTATGGAATGATAACCCCAACAAGTTTAGTTAATATTCACCACTAAACATAGTTTGTTGTTTTCATTGTTCAGATGCTCAGTTGTGTCCGACTCTTTGCAACCCCATGAACCACAGCACTCCAGGCCTCCCTGGAGTCCAACTCCCGGAGTTCACCCAAACCCATGTCCATCGAGTCAGTGATGCCATCCAACCATCTCATCCTCTGTCGTCCCCTTCTCCTCCTGCCTTCAATCTTTCCCAGCATCAGGGTCTTTTCTAATAAGTCAGCTCTTCGAATCAGGTGGCCAAAGTATTGGCGCTTCAGCTTCAG